CACAACTTTTAGCACATCAACTAGACTGCGGTAAGGAATGCCAGTTCGAAGTCTCAGCGTTGTGCAAAAAAGTGCTGCTATTGCAGTACTTAAGGAGATGGCATCCAGACGTTGAAACGTGTAGCAGCAAAGAAACCCAAAATAGCGTCTTAGAGAGGCGAAACAATTCCCATCGACACATAGTCAGGAGCTCTTGAAGTGACGAAGCATGAGGATTACGTGAATTGCCACATCTTCACTGCACTCAAATGACGCCGCTATGACACACCACCGCTTGAGGTATTTCGTCTATTCAGACCTTCACTCATGCAACACTTTTTACTCGAGCACCGCAATTGGAGGCTGTACGGAAAGGCCGTAGTGGTAAGCTAGCTTGTCCCCGCAGCACAAAGAGGCTTCCAGCAAGACGGCACTTTACTTAAGAAAGAAAAGCAAATAAGTGGGCTTTAAGCTTTCCTGCCCGTTTGCTTTCTGTGTAAAGAGTGAATACGTGCTTATTGACTTGGTAAGGTAAATACACAAATGGGGACATTAATTTACACATGCTTAGTCCTTTAGTAGTAATTAACTTCTTTATTGCATCAAAGGGACAATAGTTGTATTGCTCTTGATGGTGCAAGCTTATTAGAGGTAGCGAGCAAACGAATTTGCCACCTCTGGATTCAGTTGTGCGAGCAACTGAAGAATTCTGGTCGAGTGCTACGTTAAACTGCAGTAGACCAAGCATAAAATCCATTTTCCAACTACCCTGTGTATTGCTGCCAAATTGGCACTTTTTGTCCAGTTTAGTTGTTTAGTAGGAATGTAAGACTACGTTAAGGACGTTATTCTTACAGTAGACCTCTAAAAATACCCTGACTGATACCAACATGTGCTCTGGCCTAGCGCTTCTTTTATGTCACTTCTGGTCTCCATGATCGGTATTGTGGTGGTTTTATTATTGCCGCAGTTCGTAATTTATGAGGGTAGCTAAATGAAATCAACAATCGAATAGTGTCTTGATAAACCACTTGTATTAAGGTTTTGTGTCCTCCATCGCAATTAAATAGGTGACAAACGCTCGCACACTTAATTCTTTGCAAAAAGGTTTTGTTTTGAAACCCTTTAAAAGGTAAAGACAGGTAAAACTGCTACTACTGTTTTCAAAGATCAGAACCTGCTGTGTGGAATTGCCTCATTTTGCCACATTACTTCAATGAACAAACTGTGCTGGTTTGTGAAACTGCTTTTACATTATCCCACTGGGGTGTCACTGCATAATTGGCACCTCGTACGCAATCCTAAACGAATCAGGTAAGGGTGAAACTGCGATGCAGTGGACCTGTGACCTCCAGTGACTTACAAAAGCGAATCACGTCTAGTGGCTCACTGGCGCAAATTGAGCTCCGAATGCATTGAAATGGTACTGCCAGCCAGCACCGGCAACCGGTGCTGCAACCGCGCGTATCCACGCAAATGGCGGCAGTGATACTGAAGGTGGAGCCACTAAGCGCAGTTTAATTTGTTGCCGGTCAACCTGCGAACTACTTTTTTATCTAACAACAAGTTCCGTTCGTGTTTCTTCCTCTTCTTTTCCATTCGTTCCAAGTCTCGGGGCCATAGATTAGATCAGCTGTCACAGCAGCTGTCACATCATTAAACTACAATCAGTTATTTCTGAGTCAAACAACCAGTCTCAGCAGTATTGAATAAGGTCAAAATTCCTTTTGTTAAAATTAATATACCAAAGGCAATTAAAAGTAAACTTTCATTTATGGACTGCCAATAGTTAAACGGCGTTGGTGCAATGAGGAGGTGCTCACTCCCCATCGTGAAATTA